TGAGGATTGGGCTGGGGGCGGGGAGGTGGCAAGTTGCCTCCCCCTCCCCCTTCCTGCAGAGCAGAGAGCCACATGTGTTTTAAACTGCAGCAGCTGCTTGTGCCTAAGGGTCCTGGCAGGGGGACCGTGGGCTGGATCCGGTGGCTTGCCGGGCCGGATCCAGCCCCCGGGCCGTATTTAGCCCAGTCCTGATCCACAATGCCTTCAAGATCTCTCTTAGGCGGTCGTAGCTAAATCTGTCCCCATCATGTTGTAGCTGGGGTTATTTTTTCCAATGTGCATCACTTTGTATTTATCAACATTCAGTGTCATTTGCCATTTTGCCGCCCAATCACTTAGTTTGCTGAAGCTCTTCACAGGAAGCGCAGAGTGGAGGCAAAGCTACAGACTGCAAGCGGGGGGGGGGGGGGGGGGGGGGTGTTGTGGGAGTGGCAGGGGAAGTAGCCCAGGGAAAGGATGCTGTTGTGGGGATAAGGACAAGAGAGCCCCGCTGGTGGCTGCCATCTAGGGCCCTCGGCTGCACCCCGGAGTAAGTGGGTGGGACCGGGTTTCCCCACAACCCTCCCCGTGCCCGGTGTGCTGCCACCAGGGAAAAGGGACTTTTGCACCAGGGAAGGGTTTTTCCCTCCAAGCTAGTGACTGGCCTATGATGAAAATGGCTCATGAAGCAGGGAGCCCTCCCCTCTGAGAGAAAGAGGCAGTGGAAGGGTCACCGTGAGCCTCTGAGGCATACTAAAAATTCACCAGGAAGCGTAGGACCAAGGGAGCACAACCAGAGCTCTGCCACAATATATATTAGAGTGTGTCTGTCTGTCTGTCGTTCCATTGATCCGTGCGTCCGTTTTTTCCATAACTCCTTCTAAACAGTAAGAGCTAGGACCGCCACATTCGGTAGGCAGCTTCCTCTGATGCTAACTTAAACCAAGGTGCGCGTTTGGTTGTGCCTGGAGAATGGGAAGTGCCAGAAATAGGACTGTTTTCCATAACAGAGAGGGAGGGACACAGACAGCAGGGATGCAACACTGAGGCTGTGTCTAGATTGGCCAGTTTTTCTGGAAAATCAGCCGCTTTTCCGGAAAAACTTGCCAGCTGTCTACACTGGCTGCTTGAATTTCCGCAAAAGCACTGACTTCCTACTGTAAGAAAGCAGTGTTTCTTGCGGAAATATTATGCTGCTCCCGTTTGGGCAAAAGTCCCTTTTGCGCAAAACTTTTGCGCAAACGGGCCAGTGTAGACAGCTTAGATTTGTTTTCCACAAAAAAGCCCCGATTGCGAAAATGGCGATCGGGGCTTTTTTGCGGAAAAGTGTGTCTAGATTGGCACGGA